AGCCCCTGGCACAGTGTGGGGACGGGTGGGTGGGTGCCTGGGGCTCCCAGTGCAGCTTCGGGCTCCCCTCCTTTCAGCGGATGAGACCGAGATCTCCTTTGACCCCGAGAACCTCATCACGGGCATCGAGGTGATCGATGAAGGCTGGTGGCGTGGCTACGGGCCCGATGGCCACTTTGGCATGTTCCCTGCCAACTACGTGGAGCTCATTGAGTGAGGCTGCCCGTGGCCTCGTCCCCGCCCCACGTGGCCTTACTGCTGGAGGTGGTGGCGTGACACTGCACCCCATCCTCTTTCTGGCATGGGCCGCAAATGCAGCAATAACCCAGTGGTTCCCACACGCTTCCAGCAGCCCCCACAGCGGGGGCCTCTGCCTTTCCTGTTCCCTGCAGCTCTGAGGGGTGGTGGTTGGGGAGCCGAGACGTGGACTCGGCGGCTCATGCCCAGTTGGTCCCGGCAGCGCTGGCAGCAGCAGCTGGTCTGGGTCTTGCTCCGTGCTCCTGCTCCTCTGTCCCCTGCCTGGCTCTGGGCACTGGGGATGGGACAGCAAGGCCCCTGAGTACCTGGGCGCAGCGGTAAACACATCTGTGCTGTGAGCTCTTGCCTGCTGGCACCGAGGCGACACCTGCCGTCTCCCCCTGTCCCAGACTCCCCTGCCCCCACCTCTGTTCGTGGAGTCAGCATTGCCCACCCAGGCCCCAGCTCCGATGCCGTGACAGCCTGGCGGCCCCGGGTGAAACCCACCTTCCTAGTGTCTGGGAGTGCTGCAGCCACCTGGACGAGGCATAAAGATTAAGATGTGACTGATGTCTCTTTCTCTTTCTCTCTCTCTCTCTATCAAGAAAAAACAAAAAATAAAAAAGGTTAAGATGTGAGTGAAGTGAGCCTCCTGCGCTTGTTCTCTGGGAGGGCTGAGGGCCTGCCTTGTCCCTCCACAGGGCCTGTGCCCAGGCAGGACCGTGTGCGTGTGTGTGTGTGTGCGTGTGTGTGCACGCAGTGAGGCTCCTGGCACCCAGTGAGGCAGGGAGAGTCCACTTCCTGTGTGCCCTGGGTGGAGGCTCTACTGAGGAGGCCCCTGGTGGAAGCACGTGGCCCGCCCTGTGTGGCCCTCGAGCAGGCCAGGCTGCAGGCAGGCCTCACTGATTTCTCTCCCACAAGACGATAGTGCCCCCCACCCCAGCTCTGGAGGCCCTGTGAGTCAGGTGTCCCCAGTTTTGAGGCCATCTGTGGGCGTGTCCCCAGGCGGAGGGACTCGGGGACAGCAGAGGACAAGCATCTAAAGGGAGCCAGCCAGGTCACTTAGACTCCCTAGAGCAGTGATGACGAACCTATGACATGCGAGCTCATTTTTTTAGTTGATTTTTCTGTGTTAAATGACATTTAAATATATAAAATAAATATGAAAAATACAAGTCTTTGTCTTACTATGGTTGCAAAGACCAAAAAATTTATATAGGTGACACGGCACCAGAGTTAAGTTAGGGTTTTTCAAAATGCTGGTACGCCGAGCTCAAAAGGTTCACCATCACTGCCCTATAGACGTGGTCGGCAAACTGTGGTTCACGAGCCACATGCGGCTCTTTGGCCCCTTGAGTGTGGCTCTTCCTCAGCCTTAGGAGGACCCTAATTAAGTTAATAACAATGTACCTACCTGTATAGTTTAAGTTTAAAAAATTTGGCTCTCAGAAGAAATTTCAATCGTAGTGTTGATAGTTGGCTCTGTTGACTAATGAGTTTGCCAACCACTGCCCTAGAGCAGTTACCAAGTGCGTCTTTTGCTTTGGGGGTCACCACAGGGACTTGTTAGAGCCACCTCATGGACAGGGATGGGGGCCACTTCCCCACACACAATGGGCTGGGAAGACAGGTGGGGCCAGGTGCCCCTTGGGCAGCGTTTGTGCATCTCGGCCCTGAGTGAGTGCTGGGCACGCGGGCCACGCTGGACACGAGGTGGGGGAGATGCCTTTATTGCCAGAGCAGACGCTTCACTTGGCCTTGCCCTGGGCAGCCACAGCCTCCATGGCCTTGCGAACGGTCTCCTCGTCGCCCAGGAACCGCATGGGCTTGGTGGGCTTCAGGGCGTGGTCCAGCTCGTACACAATGGGGATCCCCGTGGGCAGGTTCAGCTCCATGACCGCCTGTTCCGACATCCCTGGGTGGGAGGAACCAAAGGCCTCAACCCTGCTGGCCTGTCCACCAGCTGCTGACCTTTGCGAGCCACGGCTGGTCGGCCGGCACGGCCTCCCTGCCAGCCGCAGGGCTGGAGACATGTGCCTGAGAAGGTCAGAGCAGACCGGAGACGAGGCTACAGAAATAGCCAGCAAAGCCGAGGGCTGTGTCCTGGGCCGGTGCCCGGTCTGGCCCAGTGTGGACTCCGGCCAGATGGCCAATGCTTGGTTCAGTTGGGACATTAGCCATTCGGTTACGGGGAGTGCTAAGGTGGGGCTTCCCGAGCAAGGGAGTAGGGGTGCTGCTGCCCAACAGGGTGGGCGAGGGACGGCAGGGGGTCCCTGGGGCCGCGGTGGGCAGAGGCTGTGCCAGGCAGAAGGCTGTGTTTTCTGAGGAAACTCGACCCGACTGCCTCCCGCGGGCCCAGCCTGGAATAGCTCGCCCTTTGGTATTTCCACCCCCAGGAAGCAAGGAGTCGAGTTCCCAGCAGTGGAGACCCCAGCATGCTGGCACGAGGGGGCATCGTCTGTCCGCCTGCTGGGCTCAGTGCCCACTGAGGGGTCTGCGGGACCTGGCATCCCGGGCAGGACAGGAGCTGGCCAGGCCTCCGGGCCAGCCTGTCTGCTCTGGCAGCTGCCCACCACCCCACCTCCTTCCTCTCTTCTTGATCCCAAACTTGAAGGCCATCAGAGGCGAACAGACTGTCCCGCTGTCTGAAACTCCTGGAGGACCAGGTCCTGTCAGGGTCGTTTGCCAAGGAAGCCCCAGATGTAAACAAGATTTCTCAACACTGGAGAGCTCATTACTGTGAAAATTCCACCAAAAGTAGCCAGTGAGCCTGGGGTCTGCAGGCTGCTGCACAACTGCACCCTTTTGAGTGGTCTCACCTCTGCCTGAGTGGGTGGAGCTGGGGCAGGGGCAGGGCTTGGCCCTGGGCCCACGTCCAGCAGCCAGCAGTACCAGAACAGTGATGGCGAACCTATGACACGCGTGTCAGAGGTGACACGTGAACTCATTGTTTTGGTTGATTGTGCATTTAAATATATAAAATAAATATCAAAAATATAAGTCTTTGTTTGACAATGGTTGCAAATATCAAAAAGTTTCTATATGTGACCCGGCACCAGAGTTCAGTTAGGGTTTTTCAAAATGCTGACACGCCGAGCTCAGAAGGTCCGCCGTCACGGCCCCAGAAGGTGGTTGAGGCCCAGCAAGTGACATGACTGGACCAGGGACACACAGCAAAGCAGGGTTTGTTGCCAGACAGCCCTGCTTTTCCTGGGCAAGACGCCACCCCAGCACCCTCACCTGCCCAGGGCTCACGTCCAGGAAGCTGGGTGGCTCGGGGCCTCAGCCCCTGTGCGGGGCCTGGCCTGGGTCAGAGTGGGAGGCCTTTCCACCTTCAGTCTTTAGAAGGAAACGACACAGTGTCCCAGTGCATGCACAGAAATGCAACCAAAATCCTACAAAGCTGTTGGCTACATGGTTTGCCCAACCCTCCCTTTTCAATTCCATTGGAAAGCCCCTCCCTGGCCCTGAGGCCTGCAGAGCTGCCTCAGCCAGGCAGTGGGCACCTGCTGAAATGCGAGCTGGGAAGGTTCAGGGCCCCATGTCACTCTCCCACCTCACCCACGTCCCACATGAGGTGGGCCTCACCTTCCAGGTGCTTGACGATGCCCCGCAGGCTGTTCCCATGTGCAGCGATGAGCACCCGCTTGCCGGCCTTGATCTGGGGGGGCGATCTCCTCATTCCAGAAGGGCAGGGCCCGGGCGATGGTGTCCTTGAGGCTCTCACAGGTGGGCAGCTCCCCAGGCTTCAGGCCTGCGTACCGGCGCTCCTGGGGGTGTCCACGGCACAGTTCACATTCCCAGCAGCCGGCCCCCCACCTGCCCCTTCCCAAGGCCCCTGGCCCCAGGCTTGCCCTCAGGCACCCCGAGTGGCCCACCTTGCTGATGATGCTGTAGTAAGGGTGCTTCTCGTCCATGGGGGGAGGCGGGATGTCGAAGGAGCGCCTCCAGATCTCCTGTCCAAAATCTTCCAGGAGCCCCTGCACCTGCCCATACAAGTTCTCAAGAGCACCGCTTCAGCACCGACGTGTAGCAGATGTCAAACTCCATCTTGGCATCCTTGACGGCCTGGGCCCCCCGCCTGGCCTCCTCGGCCCCCTTCTCACTCAGCTCCGCGTCGAACCAGCCGCAGAAGCGGTTCTCCTGGTTCCAGGTGCTCTCGCCGTGCCGGACCATCACCAGGCGGTGGGTGGACATGGCTGCGGTGCTGGGGACCGTGGCAGGCTCCCGAGGAGGACAGCTGCCTCTGCCCTGGCACCAGCTTTATAACAGTTCCTCCCCACCCCCACCCGGCCAACTGCCAATCTGCATTCCAGGCCGACAGGCAGCCGCAGGTGGCCAGCAGCAAACTCTCCGACTCTCAGGGGAGGGTGGGCCGAGATGGACTTAAAATAGTTCCACAGCCACTATGTCCAGAGCCCAGGGGGTGTGGGGGCGGACACGGCTGCTGGGCAGGGGTGGGAGTGAAGGACGGAAGCCCTGGCCTGGACCAGCACAGCAGAAACAAGGTCTCTCCAGGGACCCCTCCCTCCCAGGGGCCTGGCACATGACACAGGCACAACGTTCCCCCCCCCCCCCCCCCCGCCTCGGCTTTCTCCTGTCCCTGCGCACAGCTGGGAGCCCACCCGCATGCTGTGAGGAAGCACCTGGAGTCAAGGGGGGCTGTGCAGGTGTGTGGACTGTGCATACATGCCTGTGTGCTGCATTCACGTCTGTGTTGCGTGTGCCTGCATGTGTGCATGGGCCTATGTGTGAATGTACACGTGTGTGAACTGTGTTGTTTAAGCCCAAACTTTCCTCATCTTCTGTCTGGATGATCTACCCATTGTGGACAGGGGAGTTCTGAAGTCCTGCTGGCCTGTACCCCGTCCTTTCTCCCTCGGGTCTGGTAGTGTGTGCTCATCTATGTCGGTGCTCCTGTGTTACGTTCTCTTGCTGGATTGACTCCCTTATTATGTAACCACCTTCTCTGTCCCTTAGAGACTTTGAATAAAGCCGGTTTTGTCTGATGTAGGTATAGTCCTGCTTCCTTTTGGCTTCCATTTGCATGAGGTATTGTTTTCCATCCCTTCACTTTCTCAGTGTGTCCTTAAAGCTGAAGCAAATCGCTCACAGGCAGCACACAGGTGGGTCTTGTTTTTATAATCTATTCAGCTGCTCTACTATATATATATTATTACACATATATATAATTGATCTCAGGGAGAGAGAGGGAGATAGAAACGTCAATGATGAGAATCATTGATTGGCTTTCTACTCACGCCCCACACTGGGGATCGAGCCTGCAACCCAGACATGTGCCCTGAACCAGGAATCAAACTGTGACCTCCTGGTTCAGAGGTTGATAGTCAACCACTGAGCCATGTTGGTCAAGCTCTACATCTTTTGATGAGAGAATTTAGCCAATTTACATTTGAAGTAATTATTGCTATTTTATTAATTTCTCCTAGTTGTTTTGTGATTCCTTGGTTTCTTTCTTCGCCTCTTGCTCTCTTCCTGTGACGTATCTTGTTCTGCAGTGGAACACCTGGATTGCGCTGTATGTACCTGTTATAGGCTCTGGCTTTGTAGTTACCATGAGGCTTACATGGAACATCTTATAACAGTCTATTTTAGGTGGAGAACAACTTAACTCTGAACACATACTATATTGATTTTCAAAGACAGAAACATCAATTTGTTGTTCCACTTATTTATGCTTTCATTGGTTGCTTCTTGTATGTGCCCTGACCAGGGATCGAACCTACAATTCGGTGTATTGGGACGATGCTCTAACCAACTGAGCTACCTGGCCAGGGCCTATAGCAGCTGTGGGTAAACTACGGCCCGCGGGCCAGATCTGGTCCGTTTGAAATGAATAAAACTATTGAAAAAAAAGACCGTATCCTTTTATGTAATGATGTTTACTTTGAATTTATATTAGTTCACACAAACACTCCATCCATGCTTTTGTTCCAGCCCTCCGGTCCAGTTTAAGAACCCATTATGGCCCTCGAGTCAAAAAGTTTGCCCACCCCTGGCCTATAGTATTAATTTAAATTAAAAAAAAAAAGAGGGCATGTAACATGGAGAAGGTGTAGAACTGAGAACTCAATGTTTTGACTTTGAAAATTATTTTTTGTTCCATTGACCCCATCTGGTACACATGGTTCTCTCAGACATTGAATTGCTGGAAGACATAACATTTATTTCATTGCAACCTGAAAATGTTTCCACAGCACAGAGAGCTCTGAGTGGCAGTGGCTCCGACTTGTCAGGGTGGCTCCTTGGACTGAGTCCTTGTATAGGGCCCCCCACAAAGAATGCACAGCCATGTACCCTGGGGACCATTGAGCTGAGGGTTCTCCAAACAGGAAGCGGGAGGAAGGTTCCTCTGGGCACAAACAGGCCGGTGGCTGCCTGATCAGGGTACAATCCGTGCACCCAAAAATGAGGTGCTGTGAGAGGGAACTTGCCAGCCCCACAGATGTTGCTCCCATCAGAGAAAATAATTTCTTCTGAACCACATCTCCTTCCATTTCTTTATTATTTTTATTTGTTTCCTTCCATTTTTCATAGGAAGCTCAGCTCCGTTATGATCTACCGGCCACGGTGGTGCCTGCAGTCCTCTGTTGACGGAACTGTCACGTGCAGCCACAACGGTACTAACAGTGAAGGACTGAAATCAGGAACATGATGGTCTTGGCCACGGCCGTTAGGTGAGAAAAGGAAATAAAAGGCACCCGCTGTGGAGAGCGGCTACAGCATTTGGACAGGTTCAAGCCTCGGACTAATGAGAGGGCACAGTCCTCCCAGCACAGTTACAGCCAAAGGCTACAGTTGTCAGCTTGACCTTATGGCCCGAACCTGTGGTCCCACCTGGCAGAGTGATGTGGGCTGCGGGAGGTGCAGCAAGTAAACAGAGCTTGATCAGGTGCATGTAACTGAGTAGATTCGAAACCGGGGAGAACGTTGTAACCACGCCCTTGGTTTGCTTCGTGGAATCTGGCTCTAAAGACTTGGCTTACAGGCTGTGGCGCTGTCTCTCCATGAGAGAGGACAGCGTCCCACCCAGCCTCAGCCTTCTTCTCTTGTCTGTCTTTTCTAAATCCTTCACGGCCCCTTCTCAGGTTCACCCATGGCCGTGCTGGCGCAGCACAACCCACATTGGAAAGAAAGAACCAACGCTCTCTCTCTCTGTGCAGGTGCATGGCCTTGTATGTAGGAAATCATAAGGAATCCTCCAAAAGGTGATCAGATGTAATAAAAAGTTCAGCAAGGTTCCACGATAAAAAATCCACTGTGTGTCTACACACTATTGAACAATCAGAAGGCAAAATAAAATCCACTTAACATCAAAATAAAATACTAGTAAATTTAATAATTTATTGGAGTTTATTAATTTTTAATATAAATTTATTCTGAAAACTTTAAAGCATCACTAAAACTAAAGGAGATCTAAATAAACAGAGAGGCACTTGTGTTTATGGACTGGAAGACAGTACTGTAACCAAGGCAATACTCTCCAGATGCCCAGCTCACCCTTCTGGACCCCAGGGTCCCACAGCCATGGGGCCCACCTCACCAGCAGCGGGTGGTGAGGCGCCCTAGCCCCCACCCCACCCCCCCCTTCACCCACTCGCACATCAACACTTTCAGAAAACAGCCTGGTTTGCTCCATGTTATCATTTCATTGCATCTTTGGCAGGGTGTGCATGGGGGAGTGGGGGTGCACAGGGGCTCCCCCAGGAGGGTGAGGGTTGCAGCAACCTCTCCGGCCTGCAGATGGTCAGTGTCCAAGGGCATCCATGAGCTGGCTGCCCGAGCAGCCCCCACCCCGAGGAGGGCTGAGGGCCGCAGCGGGGCTTAGGCGTTTCTCTGCTCGGGGGGAAGGTACGCCAGGCCCAGGCGTCTGAAGATGTCCTCTTCGGCAGCCGCGTGGAAGAAGGTCTCCTGCAACAGAGGGTGGGCCTTGGTGCTGGACCCGCCTCCATGGGCTCCCCTCAGGGCCCTCCTGTCGGGTCCAGGACCACCTGCCTTCTGCCCCGGCCACAGACCTGCTCCGGGTCAAACAGCCCACAGCTGTTCAGCCACAGACCCCGCTCCTTCCGGCTAAATCTGCGGAGCTCCCGCTCAAAATGCTGGAGGGAAGAGAAGCATCAGCAGGGCCACAGCCCGGCCCCCGCCCCCGGCCCCACACGCACTGCCTACCTTGGAGCCAGTCCAGCCCAGCAGGGCAAAGGGGAACTGGCTGATGGGGGCGACCACCAGGTCCACACGCACAGCCTTCCAGGAGGGGTGGGGACTCCAGGTCCCCCCCTTGGCTGTCCCTGGGGGCCTTGGCAGACGAAATATGCAGAAGCTCTGCTCAAAGGTGTCCATGGAGTGGCCCTTCAGAACCAGGCGGGCAGGGTCTCCACTGGGGCTGCGCTGATGCTGCTGATACAGGACAAGGCCCTGGGGTGGGGGAGGGGCAGGTGTGACCCACTGTCCATGCAGCTGGAGGGCAGGGCCCAGCAGCTCCCTGGAGGGCAGAGAAGCTCTCACCTGCTGCTCCAAATAGTGCATCACCCTGGGCAGCAGCCCCACCTCCTGGCCCTCCTCGGGGTGGGTGATGAGGAAGTCCACATCATGGCCCTGCAACTTCCCCCTGAGGGTCGGGTCTGACATCCAGGCAGCCCAGGGACAGGGCAGCCCAGGGACAGGGTCTCCCATTCCCTCGAGACCCTTGTGTGTGGGAAGGTCCACCGCAGTGGCTGCCCGGAGCCCGGCCGCATGCACATCACCTTACCTCCGGAAGCCACCAGCCAGTGTGACGGTGGCCCCAGGAAGGGCCCACCCTACGGCCGCCTCCACCACCTGCCGCAGGGCCTCGGCATCTGGCCGCTGGACAGGGCTGCTCAGGTCCTGGTAGTGCTCGAGGCCTGTGGGCACGGTCGACTGCTCTGACCCACCCACCACCTCTCTACCCTCCTCTCCACCACCCCTCCTCCCTTTGAAACAGCAAACTTTTATTTAGAGATGACTGCAGATTCACGGGCAGTTGAAAGAAATCAGAGGTCCCCTGCGCCCCCACCCCCCACCCCCCCCCGCTCCCTGACCTCAATCTTAGACCACAGTGTGTGACCACGCTGGCCTCGGGGGAGGTGGGGCTGGAGCTGATAAAAGGCACAAGGAAGACGCTCCATCTCTGAGGGGCAAGCACCGTCTCACCCATGACTCCCTCGTGCGAACCTTCAGGCCCAAGCGGGGAGCCCACAGTGCGGTCACCTGCTTTCTGCTGCTGGGTCAGTCTCTGCACCTGCTTCCTGACGTCGTCCAGCGTCCGCAGTCCTTCCCGGTACCACTGGTCAGCAGTCCTCACTCCGACTCCGAAGATCCGGGTGAAGAGCTGTTGGGAGGGTGAGGGCAGCCCCGTCAGTGCTGGGTCGCCCCACACCCCGGTCCCCTCCTCCAGGAGAGGTCTCGCCCAGAACCTGCACTGTCACCAGCCACCTTGCAGCGGCTGAAACCCACCACGGCCTTTCTTCTCCTTCACAAGCGCAGACACAAAGGCTGCGGGAGGCAGGGGGCTGGGGGAACGCCGACCTGGCCCAGCCAGGGGTCAGCACAGAATCCAGGCCAGTGAATCCTCTCCCTGACCCTGGCCCCAGCAAGTCACTCGGCCTCTTACAGCTCGCTGGCTGGGCAGGCACCCGCCCTCGGCCAGCCAATCAGAGCCCCTCCCTGGTAATTCCTGGAACTAAAGCAGGTCCGGCCATGCAGTGGTGAGCTGCACCGTGGGGCAGGGCACCTTCTGGGCCTCACGTGACCAGTGAGGCACAGGCGGAGGAAGTCCCCAGCCCTGCTTCCTGCAGACCCGCTTCAGCCGGCCCTTCAGGCTGTGCAGACCATCCTTTCCTTGATCCCCTAACCAAAGGCACGCGCTGGCTCACTGTCACCAACAGAAACCTCACAGAAAAACACTGAGAATAACCTAATTATATTGTTTATAAAATAACTGTTCGCATACTTCCCTGCAGGCTCAGATGCACTCTGGGGTGCCCACAAGGAGGCAGACGGCTCTGTCCTCTGTCCACGCTTCCCCACTCACTAGCTCCTACCTGAGCCCCTCCATCCTTCACACGTGGCTCCCCCCTCCTCAAAGCCCCCCTTGGTCCTCATAACATCTGGGCAACCCCAGGGCAGCAATGACCCCGCCTGTCCGGGAAGCCCTACTGCCCACAGGTGGCCCATCTGACCACCTCTGGCCACAAAAGCAGGGCGTCCAAGCAGCAGGAGGGACACTGGGACACTGACAGCTCTGCATCAGACCAAAGGTGAGGGGCAAAGGACCGGTGCACCGTGGACCAGGTGGGACACGCCAGGAAATGAAAGTGCGAGCTCAAGACAGAGACAGTCCAGTGAGCCCGCGCTCCTTCGTCCCCTCACGTTCTGCTGAGGATCACAGAGCCGGTCACATACCGGAGGCCAGTCCATCAACAGTCCAACAAGGACAGGCAGTGCTGGGTGATCTAGAGCATTCCTGTGCTCAAAACAAGCTTCTCCCCGTGGTCTGTTTGGCTGCCTCATGCGAATCAGACATCAGCTGCCACTTCCTCAGAGGCCCCCCTGTCCTGTGGGTGGGTCCCTGGGGGGGACTGGGTGTGCCCCGCCGGGGTTGCCCGTGTACCTTCATGCTCTGGTACCGCTCTGAGCGCTGGACTCGCTCCACCTCCTCACACACTCCGTGTTCCAGCAGCTCCTGTGGCCGAGACAAAGCAAAGCCCAGCCTGACCACAGAGCAGACCCCACGCTCAGCAGGGGCCCTGCGGGGTCGGGATCTGAGGGACTTGCAAATGGAGACTGTGCCCCAGAGCTTCTCCCTCAGATAAGTCGCAGTTTATGTAAATAATTACCTTTAAAACATGGGTGATGAACTCAAGACCACTTCATTTAAAAGCAAACTGAATTCATGATGTCCTCTCCCGTGACGTGCACAAAGCACGGCTTTCCTCAAACACTGCACTTCGACAGCTGTTCCCACTCAGGCTGCTCTGCCACATCCCGGACAGTGTGGGCCGATGCCAGCAGTGCCCGAGACCAGCCTGCAGCCCGAGTCCTCTCAGCCGCCCTGGGCAGGTGCTGTGGCCCTCATTCACATGAGGTGTCTGGGTGGAGGGTGGCACGCTGGACTGGGAGCCTGCGGCTCCTCCCCAGCTGGGCTGCACACAGAGCCAGATGCTGTCACCAGGCTCCAGTCTCCCTGGCACGCACCTGCACTCACTTGCTCAGTGTGGTGAGCACCTACCTGGATGACCCTGCAGGAGTGTTCTCCGAAATGGGGCAGGCCCTGCAGCTGGCTCAGGGCTGTGACGGGGCAGGGCAGCGCCTTGAGCACGGAGGCTGCTCTGGAGAAGGAAAGGAGGCGGCCCTCGCTGCCTGCAAAGCCCGCGGCTTCTGCCAGCGTCTCCAGCGCCGCCTGCAAGGAGGGGCCCTTCGTGAGGGCAGGGTGGGTGGGGAACCTCCCCCATCCCTCCAGCTTCAACACCCCTGTCCCTGAGGCTGGGACAGAGCAGAGTGGGTAATGCTCACAGGCGCAGGCCTGGCCCCAGCTCAGGGAGGCTGGGTCCCCTGGCTCACCGAGAGGCTGGCGTTGTGGTGTGTGAGGGGCGTGGGACGCTGGCAGGCATAGAGTGGCATCCACACTGGGTTTGGCAGCACCTCCCTCGGCACAGCCACCTAGGGACAAGCAATGCACAGGCTGCTTGGAAGCTTCAGGACTGGCAGCCCTCGAAGTCTTGCCTCGCCTGGGCAGTCACCTGGGCTCTCAGGTGCACCGGACAGAAGGAGCCCACTCTGCGGGGACGAGACTACTGGGGGCTACAAACAAGTGGCCCCCAAGAAACTGAAAGCAGGAGGCGGGATGGCCTATCATGGCGACCTGGGCAGAGCCCTCACTGCCCACCTCATCTGGACACGCCTGCCAGTCACCTGCCCAGCTCAGCTTCCACCTGCTGGGCCTTTCTCTGTGCCCGACTAATCCTCCGCCCAGCTCACCTGCAGGCGGTGCCGGCCCTCCACAGGGACCGGCTGCCCAGCTGCCATGCTCTCTGTGAACCAGCTGATGTCCAGCAGGGCCGGGGGGGTGCCACCTGTGGGCGGGGCCGGCCTGCCCTCCTGCCAGCGGATGGCCTCCTC